ATAATAGATGAAGAAAACTAATAAATAGTAAAGAAGCAGATAAACAGAGGGATAGAATAATAGATCGCGATACAAATTCAAATGAGTAAATAAATAAAATCAACCAACGATACACAAACAGCCCATGACATATCAGACGACCATTACCTCCCTCTCCAAGAAGGCCAGGAAGTCACACAGCGCGACGGCGTCCTTCACGTGGGAATGGATCATGCCCTGGACTTCCGTGGGGTTCTTGCGGGCCTTCATGAGCAGCACGGGGGACGTCGCCACCACGCGCTTCTCCTCGGGGACCTGGAGGGCAAGGAACAGGGGGAATGGATGTAGGAATTGCGTTTGGGTGTCCCTTGGGGTTTCTACTCGCTGCTCTGCTCACGTAAACATGCGTAGACGAAGACACGCTGAGATATACACAGAAACGCACGCATTCGCACGCACGTATATACATAGGCATGCTCGCCCATTGACACACACACACACACTAATAGACATAAAGCCCTGATTTGGACCGGCAGCCACGGTAATTAGAAGTAAATTACTCCATCTGTGCTAATTTTGGGTTTTCAGGGGTAATGAGAGCCTTCCTGATTACAACGATATCAACTTAACTTCATGCAGCAGCGAGGAATAAACAGGGAAGGATTCCATGAGAAACTCTCTTATTTGTAATAATTGTGAAATTCCTTGCCATGTAGTTTGTGTAGTGTGTGTGTGTGTGTGTGTGTGTGTGTGTGTGTGTGTGTGTGTGTGTGTGTGTGTGTGTGTGTGTGTGTGTGTGTGTGTGTGTGTGTGTGTGTGTGTGTGTGTGTGTGTGTGTGTGTGTGTGTGTGTTAGTGTTAGTGTTAGTGTTAGTGTGTGTTAGTGTTAGTGTTAGTGTTTGTGTATGTATGTATGTTTATGTTTGTGTTTGTGTTTGTGTTTGTGTATGAGTGTATGTGTGCATTTGTGTTTGTGTATGTTCATGTGCGTATGTGTGATTACGTGCCTGTACATACCGGCATCCCCGTGACCCTTGGCCTATTCACGGCCCCTCTGCACTCTGACTGACTTACCGCGGAGTAGATGGCGTATGAAGCGCCGCCGGAGTAGGAGTACTTCTTGCCCATCATGACCTTGTTCACGCCGTTGGTCACCTCCAGGGCGCGGAGGCGGTTCAGGATGGCGGTGTATTCGTTTATCCTGTGGAGACGAGATGGGGTGAGGCAGTCCGCATGGAGTAGGGCTTTGTATGCATACTATGTTGTATATATATATATATATATATATATATATATATTATATATATATATATTATATAGTATTATGTATATATATATGTATATATATATGTATATATATATATGTATAATATGTGTATATATATATATTATATATATATATATATATATATATATAATAGATAGATAGATAGATAGATATGTATATGTGTGTGTGTGTGTGTTGTGTGTGTTGTGTGTGTGTGTGTGTGTGTGTGTGTGTGTGTGTGTGTGTGTGTGTGTGTGTGTGTGTGTGTGTGTGTGTGTGTGTGTGTGTGTGTGTGTGTGTGTGTGTGTGTGTGTGTGTGTGTGTGTGTGTGCTATATATATATATATATATGTGTGTATATATATATATATATATATATATATATATATTATATATATATATCTATATATCTATACGCACACATTCACACACACTTCTATTTATATACTGTAATTTACATCAACATGTATTTATACCGATTAATGTTTTTACATACTGACCACTTTCTCATTCTCTCAAAATTCACGGAAACCATTTACATACAAATTAATTTTAAATGAATTCTGAATGAATGCAAATTCATGTTCGGTTTGCTTTTATAACATATGCTAAAAAAAACAAGAACTAGATAAGTCAGAGGAAATTGGGATCAGAATGCTAGCGTGAACAAGCGTGAATGACTTACACGACACACTCTTGGTCGCCGCACTGGTTCACCCGCAGGTGGTTGTCGACGGTGGGCGTGATCTTGCCGCCGGGGATGTACAGTTCCACGCTGTCTCTGCCCACCACCATAACTTCCTTGGTGGAGGAGAGGAAAGGCGGCCGGCAACTCGCAAGAAGAAGGCGGTTAGCTAAAAAGCTGAGTCCTTAACTCTTCGGGAGTCCGAGGGGGGGTAAGGGGTCGTCTCACGTTTGAGTAACTTGTGGTCCCGATGGGCTTAGTCGAGGGGTTCATTCAAGTGCGAAATTGTTCTCAAAAATTCTTATACATTCAAGGAGACATAAATATTCCGATGATTTAATATCGTTGGCTGATGCGACTATCGAAGAAGAAATGCTATCGGAATTGCCGCAACACTATCAACACGCGAATGCAACTGCTCTGAGGCACACCGGAGAGCACAGAGCTTACCAGGGTTGTAAGGGATGTCGTTTCCGCGGAGATTGAGCATCCAGGCCACCTCGTCCAGCGCCGTCAGCACCAGCAGGTCAGCTCCCTCCTTCTCCATCTCGATCCTGACTTCCGCCACCTTGTCTTCCCATCTCTTTCCTGTCGAAGGTCAGTGAAGGTGGTCAGTCGCCTCCTATTGCGTCGACCTTTATTTCGATCGCAGAGAGAGGAGATGAATCCTACTATTTACAGGAGGCTTTGGGGAACTCGTCCATCCCGCTAGCAAGATACAAATATGAAAGGCGAAAAAACAAGAAAGTCGAAGAAACAAGAAAGTCGAAGACAAAGAAGGACGAAGTAAAGACGAAGCTATGAGGTTAAGTTAGGATCATTCACGGGCTGGAAGAAGAACGCCGGGCTGTTACCTGCGAACTGGAGCTCGTGCACGTAGATCGGGTCCTGGGAGTAGGGCGGCCTCTCCGTCACCGGCCAGATGGCATCCACCAGGTTCCTCTCCAAGGGCACCATCACGATCTCAGCCTCTGTAAGGGCAAATTGGTTTTTCTTGGAGGCGCATCTTTCGGCGAAGCAAAATATGTATTGTCTAGCTTACTCTGGTTCATTGTAAATGCGATGTGTGGATTTATCGAGAAATTAACTTTAGCTCTGGATAAATTTTAGATATACCCCTTGCTCATCAACAATATTTTATGAATGAAAGCAATTATTGTTCACAGAAATCATACCCTAATCTATCATAAGGATGGACAAGTAACAAAGAAACATTCGATCTCTCCGAAATGGACTAACTGTCACACAAGGCCCGGTCACCCTTTCCAAATCATGTCCCGATGCACGCTTTTCATGCGATAGGCCTACTTATCCCATAGGCCTACTTACTCTCCAGCTCTTCGGCGAACTTCTTCCAAGTATCGGCGCCGATGAGCCTCGGGTCGGCCCCGACGCGAGAGCCGGGGATCAGCGTCTGCTTCAGCCAGTCCATCATCTTGGGCACCTGAGGACACGGAGCGGTGCTGGGGTCAGTGGCAGAACTCCCGGGCGGCACGTTGCGGAAATGCCGAAGTGAACGCTTGGACTTTGCTTTCTATTATGGCAATTTCTAGTTTAAAGCCTTGAAATATTAGGTTGAATATAGGCTATACATAAATAAAGACATTTTCCCACTACATCCACTTCCTGTGATTCGAAATGCGGGAAGCCTTACCCCCGGATTCTTCTGCTTCATGAGGAGCCAGTTGCAGTCGAGCTCGTCGTCCGCCTGCAGGAAGTAGCGGCCGTCCGTCCAGAGCGCCAGCTGCTCCATGGTGACGACGGCCGTCCCCGCGCTGCCGCTGAAGCCGCTGATGTACTGGCGCCTCTTGTCTGCGTCCGCCACGTACTCGCTCTGTGGTGTGGGGAATACACATTATATAATGAAAGAAAATACAAGTAAAAGACAATAGATCTGAAATTAAACTGGGTATACGATTCATATACCTTTCCACTGTTTATGCAAATTGCCGGGGGTATTAATTGTCTCCTCTGTGAATTATGCATTTTCATTAACTAAACCGGTGTTCCAAGAAAATGAGCAAATTAACAATGCACTTTCTGTTTCGGATGCAAAAGAGATTCAGAAAAATAATTGTTAAAATTTTCTAAAAAAAAAATAAAAATAAAAACCAAATACTCTTTACAAGTATTCATACTCATCATATCATAAGATGTATTTTGAAATATACTTCGCTACAACATCTCCGAGACTTTTCTTTTTCAAAGGAGCATCCATAGGTAAGCAAAATAATCTATATGTAAACAAATAGACAACACTTCGAACAAAATATAACTACACTTTAAATTAAAAAGAAAGAAAGACAGAAGAAGAAGAAGAAAAAATATAAAACAAAATATACAAAACAAAACAAAACTTCCGATTTCCCGCTCATTATGTGTAAAACATCAGCAATATAAGTTTCCCAGCGCGCACCGCCCGGCCTCTAAGGTCTTCGTTAACGGAATTTATAGACCTCCCACTTCGCCAGATTGAACTCCCGCTTGTATAAACTAGGAGGAGTCCGGACTCATTAAACTGCGAAAGAAGTCAAGGGAAACTCCGTGCAAATCTTTTCTCATGATGGAAAATGGCCGTTCGCTGTGTACTTTGGGCCGTGACGCTTGAACCATGACAGGCTATCAAATTCAGCTAATTATCTCTCTTTATCTTTCTGTTTGTCCCTATCTGTGTAGCTATCAAATTTAGCTAATTATCTTTATCTGTCTATCTGTCCCTGTCTGTGTAGCTACCTATGGCCGGAAATTGGGAGAGGGAAATAAAGAGAGAAGAAAACACAGATCAGAGTTTTTTCTTCATTAAAGCTGATATTAGAAAGAGATAAAGATATAGAGATAGATAGATAGAGAGATATAGATAGAGGTAAATAGATAGATATATAAATAGATAGACAGACATACATACAGACAGACAGATAGACAGACAGAAAGATAGAGAGATAAAAAAGACATACAGACATAAAGATATAGATAGATAGAGAGATATAGATAGAGGTAAATAGGTAAATATATAAATAAGACATACATACATACATACATACATACAGACAGACAGACAGATAGAGAGATAAAAAAGACAGACAGACAGCGCCTCACCTGATGCTCATCGTCTGTGGGAATGATGTAAGCCTCCAGATCCTCGGACGCCATCTCAGCCCTCAGCATCGCTACCCTGTGGAATGGGAATGCTGGAATTAGTGGTGGGAGTTGGAATATTAGTCTGATGGCGGGTCGAGTGAGTCTCTGTGTGAGCCTAATTATGTGTCGAATTATGAGTCGACCGGGTTTGTTGAGAGGGGACAATGAGGATTCTAGAGTGAGTAACGATGGGTTTAATGATGATTCTAATAATGAGGCTAATGAGTCTAATTGTACCAAATTAATGATGAATCTAATAACGTATAAGTATGAGTTTAATAATGAGGCTAATGATGAGTCTAATGATCCTAATGATGAGCCTAATGAAGAATCTGATAATGAGTCTAATTAAGAGTCTAATGGAGTTGAGAGCCACTGATCTCTCAAGGCTTGGAAACGCTGATCAGTGATAAAAATGGTAATACTAATTTTAATCTTAGTCATAAGAGTAACAGTACTAATGCTAGTACTAATGATACTATCAATAACATTACTGATGACTGAATTAAAGTGATATTTGCGATAAAGTAATACTAATTAACACAATGAAATAAATCATACTAAGAGATAAACAAACAAATAAAACTTGTACTACCATACTACTACTACTACTACTACCACTGCTACTACTACTACTACTACTACTTCTGTTACTACTATAGCAACTACTACAAATAATGCTACTTAACTATCGAAAATAATGATGAGTATCATAATGATTTCAATCACCATTTGCGGTGTAATCCTAACAGAGCTAATAGCCACACCAGTAAGCAAGCCAAGCGCATTCGAGGCCGAGGCCCGAGCGCCCTGCCACGCACCTGGCCGCCGTCTCCACCCGGGTGAAGGGGCCCTGGTCGTCGTCCCCGCACTGCTTGCGCTCGCCCAGGGTCACCTCCCTGACGACGCGCCTGCCGTGGGAGGGGCGCTCCGGCGTCCACGCCCAGTCGTCCCTCTCCGTCGGTATCGAGATCCCGGCGACACCTGCGTGGCCCGAGAGGGGAAAGGATGTTAGCGAACGAGGGGAGAGAGCTTAAGCTTGGGGAATTAGGAAGGGAAAAAGGGAAGGAAGGGGAGGGCGGCTGCTAGGGGTGCCGTGTGCTAAATGTGCATCGGCTGGCCACTGCCCCCAGTGAAAGAAAAAGGAAGAAAAAACAATTAAAACGTGAAATATATATGATATCCTTGCAATGTCAAAAATGCTGGTGAAATATTGATACCTTTGTCCTTTTAATAATATGCTAATGAATCCGGCCCTGGAATAGCAATGATTAAGGCCTGCATATGATATCCTTTTCATGCATATTTCCCCTCTCTTCCTTTCTATTCGCATGTGCTGGCGCACCGGAAATGAGAGTTTTTGTCCAAACAGAACATAAACATTTCTGACAAGAACGACAATAACGCCTAAAAGTACCTTGGAACTTCCATCGTCGGTTCCTTTATGAGACAGAATGTGTTCCTTTTGACGTAAAGAATAAATTTCCTTTTTGGTGCAGCTTATACATAAGAAAAATAATCAAATTAAATTTACAGTATGAAAATATAGATAGTTTCTGTAATGAAAATAAAAATATAAGAATCCCTTTCAGTTCGAATAGATTCCAAAGCTTCACATGTTCGAAAGCTGAAAGGCGCCAAAATCACAAAACCCAAGCAAAGTTCGGCGCACGACCGACCCTGGCATGAAGCGCGTGATCGCCCGCGCGCAGAGCCTGCGTCCCCGCGCCCACCGCAGCGTAAACACGGCCAAAGGCCCGTAAGGAAAGGCTTCCGCATTTGCAATTTCGCGGAACAACACCTAAAGCTGAGAGCTCAAGTCCGCTCTTTCGAAACAGATGATTCCTTCGGGAGTCGCTCGGAGGAGGTGTTTTTTTCATATTTTATCGTCTGCGTCGTTTTTTCTCTGTAAATTCCGATATTGCGATTTCTTAAAAGGACGCCCTCGTTATCTTGAGTCCCATGGCGATTTGATAACTGTAGGGGTTGGAATGTGAATGGGGAATAGGTAAAACAAATATATTTGATTGGCACTGCTTCCAACGAAGCCTAATAATCTGATTTCAAACTAGATCTCGCATTCGCACCCTTGAGTGGCTGAGACTGGTATCCTTATATGAGATACGAGGCAGACATCGAGAAAAAACATCCCGCTAAGAATAAGGAAAAGACGTTCCACCTCAAAACAAGTACATCATTTTCGAGATATTTCAAGGCAGGGATGTCACTGTCCCAATGGCAATCGTTTTATCATGTTCACAACCAATATCTGAAACGCCTACCGAGGATGTATCACTGCCAGGCTTCTGCTACACTGCAGCTTTAAAAAACTTAATCCATCACACATCACACAGGAATATTGTGCCTATCAACCTACGTGAAAGGCTATTCCATCTGTGCGTGTTAGAGTCAAGAAAGTGATTTCCCGAAATTATCAACACAGAATGAGAGTAAAGAATGCAAGAAGATAAGAAACAGGGAGCAGAAAATTGAGATTCAACTCACTCGCACGAAAGGCAGCTAAATCCATACACACAGGACATGCAGACAACTGGAGTTATACGGCAGATGGATGGCTGAGGCGGTAAGACATGCATTCCAACAGACTGCAGTTTTTGATGACGATTCCATATCGTTTCCTTGAGCTTGTTGGCATATGAATGACAGAGCAGGAGAAAGAGAAAAAAAGAGAAGAGAAAGGAGAGAGAAGAGAGAAGAGAAGAGAGAGAGAAAGAGAGAGAAGAGAGAAGAGAGAGGGGAGAAGAGAGAAGAGAGGGGAGAAGAGAGAAGAGAGAAGAGAGAGGGGAGAAGAGAGAAGGGAGAAGAGAGAGGAAAGGAGAGAGAAGAGGGAAGGGAGAAGGGATAAGAGAGAAAATGGAAAAAAGGAGAGATAAGAGAGAGGAGAGACTAGAGATAATGAAAGAGAGAGAAAAGGGAGTGGAAGAGAAAAAAGAGTCGAGAGGAGAGAGGAGCGTGAGATTAAGACACTAGTATATACGGCCAGAAAATAGAGGGTAACTGAATGTGTAAGCAAAATGCTGAATCGAAACTGACGCCACCGAGAGAAAGAGAAATGGAGAACAGCAGAGTCCAACGAATTATTTAGCAGACGCAACAAACAAACTTTACAGCAGGGAACTTAATGGCACTTCAACTTAGCAGGAGGAGGAAGCCGAAATGGACGAACTTGCCGGCCAGCTTTCGAGTTTGAATATCCACCTCTCAGGAATCACACAGGGACAACAAAGGACCGAGGGGAAAGTACAAGTAGAAAACAACGACAGAGACAGAGCGAGAGGAAAAAGAAGAAAACCCATCACCGACTCGACGTCCCCCCGCTCTTCCCATGCGAGCAAAAGTCCTCCTCAACACCCCGTCTGCACCGCGAGAGAAGGACGCTCTTCCTCGTCTTGTTTAGGTTCTTACGGCGAATTCACGCTGATTGTGCCATTCATGTCCTCCGTCTGTCTCGGGCCAGCTGCTGAGGGGCGCCCTCGACGTCGAGGAGGGACGGAGGCGGGTGTCGGGAGGGAAGTGGGCGTCGAGGGGTGGTGAGGGGCGTTCGAGGAGGGTTCCAGGTGAGTGTAAGGGGAGGAGTGAAGTGGGCGTCGAGGAGGGTTCAAGGTGAGTGTAAGGGGAGGAGTGAAGTGGGCGTCAGAGGGTTCAAGTGAGTGTAAGGGAGGAGTGAAGTGGGCGTCGAGGAGGTTCAAGGTGAGTGTAGGGAGGAAGTGGGCCGTCGAGGAAGGGTTCAAGGTGAGTGTAAGGGAGGAGTGAAGTGGGCGTCGAGAGGGTTTCAGGTGAGTGTAAGGAGAGGAGCGAAGTGGGCCGTCGAGGAGGAGTTCAGTGAGTGTAAGGGGAGGAGTGAAGTGGCGTCGAGGAGGGTTCAAGTGAGTGTAAGGGAGAGAGGAAGTGGGCGTCGAGGACGGTTCAGTAGTGTAAGGGACGAGGAGAATGGCGTCGAGGAAGGGTTTCCAAGGTTGAGCTAGTTAAGGGAGGATGAAAGTGGGCCAGTCGGAGAGGAGTTCAAAGGTGAATGTAGGGAGAGATGAACGTGGCAGCCGTCGAGAGGCCCCACGAGTGCTAAGGGAGGAGTGAAGGGCGCGAGGAGGGTCAAGTGAGTGTAAAGGGCGAGGAGTGAACGTGGGCGTAACCGAGAGGTTCACAGGTGAGTGTAAGAGGAGGAGTGAAGTGGGCGCCCGAGGAGGGCCCAAGGTCGTGTAAGGGGAGGAGTGAAGTGGCGCGGGTTGGCGAGGAGGCCCCAAGGTGAGTGTATAGGAGTAGTGACAGTGGCGCGAGAACGGGCTCCAAGGATGAGTGTAAGGGGAGGAGTGAAGTGGGCGTCGAACGAGGTTTCAAGGTGAGTGTACGGGTGAGCGACAGTGAAGATGGCTCGGGAGGGCACCAAGGTGAGGTAAGGGAGAGTAGAAGTGGCGCCGTCGAGGGGGGATCAAGGTGAGTGTAAGCCGGAGGAGTGAAGTGGCCAGTCGAAGAGGTTCAAGGTGAGTGTAAGGGAAGGAGTGAAGTGGGCGTCCGAGAGGTTTTCCAAAGTGAGCCTGTAAGGGGAAGGAAGCTGAAGTGCCGTCCCGAGGGGGTTCAAGGTGAGTGAAGGGAATGAGTGAAGTGCGTCGAGGAGGCGGTTCACAGGAGTGAGTGTACAGGGCGCAGGAAGGAAGTGGGCGCTCGAGGAGGTTCAAGCTAGTGTAAGGGGAGGAGGGAAGTGGGCCGTCGAGCAGGGTTCAAGGTGGTGTACGGGAAGGAGCGAACGTGGCGTCGAAGCGGGGGTTCAAGGCTGAGTCGTACCAGTGGAGGAGTGAAGCCGCTGGGCGTGCGAGGAGGTTCGAGAAGGTGATGTAAGGGAGGAGTGAAGTGGGGCGTCGAGGAGGGCCCAGAGAGAGGGAGAGTGAAGTGTCGTCGAGAGTTCGAACGTGAGTGTAGAGGGAAGGAGTGAACGGTGTGCGTCCGACGACCGGCCCCAAGGCTCGCACGTCGCTACCCGCCCCCAGGAAAGAGGCTGAAGTGGGCCGTCCCCCGCACGCGCACGCCGCCGCCTCTTCCCGAAGGTGCCACTCGTAAGCGCGCCAGGCACCGTACCACAGTGCGGCCCACGCTACCGCCCACCGCCAGGCGCCCACACGGTAGCCGTGCGACACGCCCGCGCGGGCTGAACGTGGCCCGGCCGCCCGGCGCCTCCGAGGACCCGCGCGTTCAACGCCGCCTCGCACGCCTGTCCACCCAGCCGCCCAGCGAGTCGCCCCCCACCCACGCCCGCTCCCCCGCCGAGGAGGCCGTTCAAGCCCGTGACGCCCCGTGGACAGCCCGGCCACCCGCACGCCCACACGCTCCGCCACGCCAGCACGCCCCGCCACACGCACCTCGTCAACGGCCGCGCGAGGCAGCTCGACCACTGGCCGCCGCTCGCAGACGCGGCCTCCCTCCACCACCCGCTCGACGTGCCACCGGCCGCCACCCGACGCTCGACACGTGGGCCGTAGAGGGCGGTTCCAACCGGTGAGTGTACCGCGCACACGCCCCACGCACACTGCGCTCACGCGAGCCACGCGCGTGTCAAGCGCTGCGCTGTCACACAGCGAGACGAGTCGCACACCGTGCGCCCGCCTCGATGGAGGCCCCCAAGGATGCGTGCTACCGGCACCGGCCGGAGAGTCCGACACGGGTGTCAGAGAGGGTTCGAACCGGGAGCTGTCGAACCCGCGCGCGCCCCGGCAGTGCCACAGATTCCGGCCCCGCCCGGCTCGGACGAGGCTCTGCCCCGAAGGTCCGGAGTGACCCGCACAGGGAGGAGTGGAAGTCCGGGCGCTCGCGGCAGGGTTCAACGCGAGTGAGCTGAACGCGGGACGGACGTTCGTATATGCGGTGGCCGCTCCGAGGGGGGTTCGAGCGCTGGACGCCTCCTATGTCAGAGCGGGGGGAGGCCCGCACTGCTCGCAGTGCGCCGCCGCTCGCATGGCAGCCGTTCAACGGTGAGTGTAGCGGAAAGGATGGGCAAGTGGGCGTCGAGGAGGGTCAAGGAGTGCGAGTGGTAGGGGGAGGAGGTGCAGCAGTGGGCGCCCGTCCGAGGGGGGCTCACACCAGCGCCGCGCCCGCCCTGACACCCCCCCC